TGAATCAGCATCATCTGTTATCACCGTGGTGATGGCGTTGGTATTTGTCTTTGCTTGTTTGCTTTTTGTTTTTTCCATGAAACATTTTTACACCGTTTATGATGTGTATAGATTGGATACTCTCCGATATTCTTTTACGGAATCAATTAATTGACAGCATTTCGAAGACATTGTCTTAAGTGACATGGATCCCATTATAGTAAATGTTATGTTGATACAGCAATTGAAGTGGATTCTCAAGAACGCCTCTTTTTGCTGTATTTGAATCTTTGTAACATTTCAGTGATAGACATCTCACTGACATCAGGTGCTGTTGTGCTAAAAATGTTAACAGGTAAAATCTGTGGAAAAATCTTTACATTTGTTATAGTTTGTATAATAAAGATAGATGAAATAGTAACAGTTAATCTTTCTAGTGTTTTGTTTTAAAGATAAACACTCTTGTATATGATTTAGATATAAAGAATAATTTGAAGCAGCAAAGTACTTACTGCCCTTGTTCACAATGGTATGTAAAATTACATTCTCTTTAAATGTAAAAAATACTCCTTTATTCAAAATCTCTCAATCTATTTAGAATAGTTGCTAATTGGAAATATGACGTTAATTATCTTTCTTTGTCCTGTTATGGAGAACACAACCTATTCCCTAGTTATTATTGGCTTAAAATACCAGAAACACCCAAAAATTGTCTTAAGAACATTATTCTTTTCTTTTTTAAACCAAGATCTGACAGCCATTGTGGAAAGTTACATTCGTGAGATTGGATGCTTAACTATGAGAATCTTAATTGTTTAAGTATATTTACCAGCGGCTGTTGGGTGTAGCTTAAGATGATTAGAATTTTTTATTATTATTTCTAGTGAGTTAAGAAAGCACTCAGATACAATATTGAAGGTATTTATATGTTAGCTCTACCTTTGTATAAGTGGTTTTAACACTTCCATAACAATATATATCAGAATCTGTTGTAACTATAACTGCTTGAAGTGGGGGTATGTTACAATCAGAATATGAATTAATAATCATATGCATGATGTATTGATTCAACAATCAATAGATGTGGCAGGATCATTACCACAAGGTATATGTACCTTTAACCATCACAAACCAAATAAAATTTTCTTGGTATTTGAAAAACTGATAAAATATTTGATTACGTTTATTTTAATATACATAGAGTGGTATGGATGTTGAATTTATATCTTTGACATCTTTTCACCAATTTGCAATAGGTGACCTAACTTATCAATTTCCAAAATCATCATGTATATCACCTGGACGGGTTAATCTATAATACTCTTTTACTTTCTATTGACTGGCTGTAGCTCTGGCAGACTGAATATGTTTATCATTATAAATAAACTTTATGATAGTTGAAGTAAAGTTTCTGCCTGTCTTTCAGTTCAATTTTAACTATTGAAGTACTTCACTTATATTAGTTATACCACTATGCAAACTTAAACGAATATAGAATAGTTTCTGATTTAATAAACACATTTTATATTTTCTTCTAAAGTTTAAACATTATTCATTATTGCAGTTGTTATTGTAATCATATGATCTTTAACTATCATGATTCAATTATTTATCAGGGTAATCAGCTACTATGCTCTTATACGTATGTTTAATATATTTGTTTGTAGGCCAGCTGCATATGGCATTTTAGCAATAATCTTCAATTGCGTTTCAGATATTCCAAAGTCTATCCACCTTTGTAATTAACACATTCTGTGTTTCTTATACCATTAATTATAGTATCTCTATTATATTACACATTGTCACTGACACATTTCTGATACAGGGAAAAAAATAGCATGATTGCTTTAGTAATTATAATTTTCGGTCCATGCACCACATTACTGGAAGTCCAGAATATAGCAAGAATGCTTTGTCGTTTGATTCTATGGAGCAATTTAACGTTTTGATGGGTATAGTTATACCAAAAGAGCAAGGAGTACGACGGTAGATCACATCTGCAACAGAACCATTACAGATTCCTTGTTGTATCAATGTCTCTGTGTTTATGTTTACAGGAGTTCCTTGCTTTGCAGGTATGTACATAATATGTAGAGTTTAAGAAAAGCTGCAAATTTAGTACAAGTGTCCCATGATGTCAGGTTTCTGAAAGATTTTGCTGGTCTTTTTATATTCCATTCTCTTGGCAGGGCATCTACTCTTAGTAGGCCGGCATTGTTATTATTTATTAATTGCATCAAGGTTTCTTTCGTTAATTGTTGTGTTTCTACCAAATTCAAATTAATATGCAACCAAATGTCATTGTAAAGTTCATTGTTGCAGAATATTGTTCCAGGATGGTTTTTTTCACTCCAGTAGGAAATCTATTTTCCTCTTCTTCTGCTCCTTCCTATTAACCACTTTTTCTGAGTTGTAGGCAACAATCTGTGTCTTGTACTGTGAGGTGCTTTGATAGTCAATCAGGTTTTGTCAGTACCATGTTCCATCTTGAAAAACAGCTGGGTGTTGACAGTTATCAGCCTTTATTTCTTTTTCCGGTCATCTTCTGTCTGGAAACATAATAGCAATGTCCAGAATTAGCATAGCACTTCTTTTCAGCATAAGAAGGCTGTTTGCGGTAGTCACTCAATGATAAACTATATGGCAAAGTATTTTCTTTATCACCTTCATAGGTGCATCCAAAGTCTTTCATAGGCATCTTTCCCGTCTTTTTCTGTTTTCAGCATGCTTTGCCATCATCGTTGAGTCCATTATTAGGATTTGTAATTGTCCAATCACATCTTTCTCATGTATAATCATTTTTGGAATGATCTCAATAGGTTCCTTGTGTAGGCAATCATTTCACTGTGAGCTGTGTCTCTCCTTTTGAGATAGTTCTTGGAGGTAGTCCTCACGATCAAAGAACTTGTATAGTGTGTTAACATAATCCCAATGCAGTTTTAAAACGACAGCTAGGGTTGATGTTATGATAATGCTGCAGACTGTAAGAAGGAGACACCAATTTTCTAGCATCCTTTTGCTTCCATCTTTGCATTTCTTTCTTACTGTATAAGATAATTCAGGTTCAGTCTGTTTTCTCTAGGGTCTTTCTTATAATGATGTTGATGATTAATTTTTCATACATTCCATGTTAACTGTGAATGTATCACGTCTGTCTGTTTATCCTTCTCCTTCACATTTGCAGGTTCAGATGTCAGATCATGATTCAGTCTGTTAGATGGCTATGATTCTGGTGGCTGTGTTTTGGTGGCATTTCTGTCGTCCTCTATTTGTTTTATCTTGTCATCTTTAACAGCATCCATTGTGTCAGTCAGTGGTTCTGTGAACGTCCTGGAAATATTTTAGCAGGTTGTAAAATATCAAATTCACTGTTCTCTGTTGGCTCTGATTATTCTCTGTAGTAAAAGTTCTCAGAGTCACCCTCTCCTGGACAAGCTGGCCAACAGAAGGAAATAGGTGGTGGTGCAAGGCGAGGTGGGCTGGAAAACAAAATTCCCTAAATTTCTCTAATAGAACCAATGGTTCTCCCTGGTGCAGAAATATAATTGTCAGTGAAAAAACATGTAACATTTCATATGGTGTCTCACCATTTGTATCATCAGGTATGTTGTGAATGCTTATCTGTACCATAGGAATAAATAGATACCACTGTGTGGGGCAAGCAACTAGTAACTTGGTTAATAATCATTTAACCTCAGCATTCTCCCAGACCACAACCCCACTTCTTTGGGGGTGGTTGGGGCACTGAAATCCCAAAGTAACCCAAATGTGGTTGCCCAGTTTTAGGTTTCCTTTGCAGTAACTGCAGGACCACCATCCAAATGGATGGTCCTGGGATTATCAAATGCATACTAAGGAAGTGAGACTAGAAAACGTGGCATCAGAGGTTGCACTTCACACAGGATATATCCAAGTAAACCTGGTATATGCATCAACACATACAAAAACATATTTATAACCATGAGATGTTGGCAAACTTCCAATATATAGTAATCCAAAAAGTACGTTAGATATTAATATTTCAATAAACAGTACATCAGTAATGTGGCAATAAGCAAATGCTTATGATTACTAAACACATGAATTACAGTATTTCCCATATTGGACCACCAGTATTCCTTTTCAGGAGTCAGAAGTACATTACCTATCTCTATAAGAGCTTGTCCTAGCCATGAAAAAGCTTTTGGGCAAGTCTATCTTTCCTCTATAGGAAGAACAACCAACATATTACCTTCAATGGTTATTATGTAATTAACCCCTCTAAATGATAGGAGTAATTATGCAGGATACCAGGTGGATAAGGTCTGGATATCCTTGCAAGCATAAACTCTGCATCATGACTGAGAGATAGGGTATGCGATGTGATCCAGTGACCACAGAAAAGCGTTGGTAGACACATTGCATCAAAGTGCCTGTTAATGACCAACTACATGAGGAGAGGGACCATGCTTTGTTATAAGCATGTCCATACACATATTACAATGCCAGTCTTTTACCACAAAGCAAAATGCAGCTGTGGATATAAACTCACGACGTATCGTAAGAAAAACTGTTTAAACACCAGACTGAGACTCGAGATCAGTGAACAGTGGACCAAAATAGATAAATGAAATCCTATCAATTAATATAGTTTCAATATACTTTCTTTAAATTACTTTATCCTCTGTATTAACTATGAAATATTAAAGTTAAAACAATAACATTTAAAAGCCAACTTTTAGTGTGATTGGAATTACAAGGCCGTTCATAATGTGAGATAAAGAACAGCTTTTTTTTAAATCCGAATAGTCTGTGAACACAAAATGACCTTGCGCTGAAAACTCACTTGCAGGGGAAAAACAAAACCTCTTCTTTTTTTCTTTTTCTTTAGTAAGTTAATTAATTAATTAAACGTAGTTAGAACCTCCCTCAAAGTCCCGATTACTTTGCAAGAAACATGTCATCCTTAAATACTGGGTAAGTCTATTAAACAGTGACATAGCACTGTGTATTATTTTGACACAGCTATAATGTGCAGTATTACAAACTATTTATAAGTGTTGTGCAAACTGTTCATTAAAAGCCAGTGATCTAGCGCGCTATAGAACATTTATTTATTTATTCTTTAAAGCTCTGACCTCAATCGGCAAAGCAATATTGTAATGGTGTCCATTGCAATCTGCTGTCTTACTTGCTGCTCTCAAAAATTCTGAATATGTTCAGAGATTTCTTGGGCAATAATAAATCCCCAAAAAACAACAACTTTGCATTTATGCTAAACCTGCCTGTTGTAAACGTATTCTGTATATTTCTTGACATAAGTACTTGTACTTGAATCTGTTTAACAAAGCTGTTTATATTGTGGTAAAAATATATATATTTTTATTATTCATTTTATTTATTTTTTAACATTGCTTAATTTTTAACCCCTTAAGGACCAAACTTCTGGAATAAAAGGGAATCATAAAAGGGAATCATGACAAGGGAATCATGTCATGTGTCCTTAAGGAGTTAAAGATACCTGCATATTTAATTAAATATCCTTTATATGTCTTTAAGGCATAAAATGTCTGCAAATTAAGATTATATACAAAAATACATGTTCTGGGTGTTCCTGTGATTCCTTTTCTATCATTTATTTATTTATTTAAAAAAATTTAAGTCTGGAATCTGATTCCTTTTGGGATGAGCAACCCTCTGAGCCCCCCAGTTTCAGAGGCTTCTTTGGTGTGACCACTGAAAAGTATAGATTCTATAAAATAGATGTGAGGGGGCATTGGACCTTAATTATACCTTAATATATAGCAGATATGTGATTTAATATATCAGAGTATTATTACTTTAATTGACACTGCATTTTTTTATGCATTATTATTTTTCTTTTTTTCTTAAATTTGAATGTCTGTTTAGAATATTGCAGGCTTTGCAATATCACATTAATTTTGCAGTATATATATTCACAATGCTCTTACAACATATTATTAAAATTAGCCTCTTTCAGAATTGTAGAATATGTGGTGGAACTGAATCCCCATATATGAGATTTAAAACTGTATTTTTAGTTTTATTCTTTGCACTTATCTGTATTTATATACATAATTGCGGCAGCATAAAGCTTTTAAAGAAGCAATTATTTCACCCTTCATGTGTGGTTGACTGTGGACTTTTTAAAACCTACTTTTTATTTTATTTTTTTATAAATCCGTTTCTGGCTTTGAGAGAGCAGGCTGCTGAATGCATGTAAATGCTGTTATTGCCTGGTCTATATACTTTTATTTATAAACAACATTGATATATTTATATATAAACAACTTTACTATTTAATCTTATTTTATATTATTTTATGAAAACCTAGTTTATGAAATTCACTGAGATTACATGTGTCTGATCTGATTACAGTCAGTAGTACAATATCATTGTTCTAATTTCCTTACTGCTAGTACGGTGAGATAGTACCACTGATTTAAGTAAGCTTTCCCTTTTAAAATTGGTAGACTTTAATCCTGCCATTGCAATAGACTAAATACTGTACCTGAGTAAGCAAAGTCATTATGTGCAGGAATTGTGCACTTTAAATAGTAGAATACTTATGCTATTCTAGTGAATTGGGCTGGCTACTTAACACATCATTTAGTATCTTTTGGTCACATTTAAAGCTGTAAATGTATTTAACATTTTATTTAAATAAGCCTTTAATAATTTCAGTTTAAAAGTTATCAGAGATCCTATATATTTACAAGTTTATTTTGCCCTGATTGATCTTACATATATATTATTTTTAATTATTTTATAAATATTTAATTTTTGCAGAGCATTTAGAGAAGCAAAGGGTGTATAACCACCTGTTGCCCTTTTTTCTAGGAGGGTAGTATAATTTCAACTCTGTTTAGGAAAAAATATAAGCTAGTTATCATATATTATATAAAATATATGCTGCAGTGTACTGCATTGTACCGCACTGAATGTATTTAAAAGCCATGTCTTTCTCTTTATGGCTGTATGTAATAATGTTGTTAATAATTTGGAATATAAAAAAAAACGACTTCTCAATTCCTTGGAATGGAAGCAATGTTTACATGTCTCTATCTCCGCAACCTTGGCTGGAAATTCCAGACTCCAAAAATAGTTATGCTGTTATAATTCCTGATTTTTAATCAACAGCTAGCGTAACTGACAATATGGAAAATATCACTGTTTTATAAAACTTTTCATATATAGTGGACATTAGAATCCAGAACGCAGTAATGCAATAATTAAAAATCCTGTCTGTCTGTTGCATGAATATTTTCATTAAGCCATAATGCATTTTTCTTTGCATTCTTGGAATTAGACTTCAAATTTCATCGCTCTGTCTTATCACTTTTCTTTTGACAACATTTTGCATTAATCTTTTTCTTGCGCATGCATACTAAGCAGCTACAAAGAGAACATATCCCCCTGTCTGCAATCCACTGTCCTGGAACTAATGGACCATGCTGTGCTGGTGTATTAGGCATATCAGGGAGTTTACCAAATATGTATATTTATTCTCTTATGATATTAGTTAAGATCCACAATTTCAGCATTGTATGCTAATTACGTTGTACCTGTCACCTGAACTCGAAGTGCTTTGTTCACATTAAAATCATCTCTAATGATGAAGATCTCTCTCTGAGTCTGGGCTACACATAGCTCAATAGATTCTTGATATTTTAAGACTTGTGCCATGACAAAGTACTGTGTCTTCTCTTATGTATAAGAGGTTACCTAGGTATTTATTTTATATTTAAAGCTTCCAAGTACAAAGTCCCTTCGTGGTCGCCAATTGTAACCGTGGTGGTTCCCTTATTTACCACTATAATGTCTTAAAGCATAGAACTTAATAGGGCTAACCATACAGATATCTTAGCCATAATTTTATATAGTTAGTAAGAGATCCTCTATTTACCATATATAAATAATTGAGAATACAATATAAAATAAGGATTGTCTTGGAAGCAAGATTGTCTTTTGGATATTTATTATATAAAAATATAAAATCCATTATAGCAGAGTTTATAAGATTAAATTACATGCTTGCAAATATCATTAATAGGTTAACATACCCTTCTGAACATGTCATCATGTCAGCCTCTCTGTCATTTTAAGATGGAGCAGCGTCTGTCTCCAAGTCTCTCCTCTGTATCTTAACATTTAAAAGTACACCTATTTATACCTTAGGTGTCTCCATTTTAAGGTTACCGTAGTTCATTTACTTTATTCATTTTAGGACCTCCCTTAATTTGGCAAACATACAAGACCATAACAGAAGGGTGCATACGTCATGGAAATTTTCCTGAATAGGTTATCTGTTGTTTATACTAAGTCGTAAGTGTACAGTCGTGGGAGATTCCCGGATTTGGGGAAGTTCCATTAACTTGGGGTTACCACAGTATATTGTGTACTGCAAGAGTCGTAGTATAGCCTTGAAGCTTGTTTATGCATTATTGTTATTGTAATTCGTCTGGGACAAAATGGTTATTGCTTAAAGAAACAGTTATGAAAAACAATATGTTCCATTTCTAACACCTTGTCAGTTTGCAATATCTCTTAAAGACAAAGTACACAGTTTAAGAAATACAACATTTCTTTCTAAAACTTGTAATTTTTACATTTGCCCATAACATTCTGGCTCTGAAATTCTCATTCTAGACTGATTGATGATGCTGCTGGAGCGGTGTGACACCTCCAGCAGCAAAGTTAAATATTTCAGTATGGGCAGAATTTCATACTGGAATGCTGCACATATAGATTCCAAGCACCATAACCACGTCAAAACTCTGAAATGGTCAAGGTGCTTGGAGTAACACTTTAAGTATCTGTGACTTTTGTGAATTTCTGTGAAGCAATTACATGAATATGTTAATAAGTATTCATGCATCAGGTATGTATTAACAGCCAGAATGACATACTCAATGATAATTTTTAAGTTATACTCACCTGTAAGATATTTTTATTGGCAGACATTTTGTGTAAAGATAAAAATTAAAATGTATATTGTAGGTAACTACTTGGCAGATGTGACTCAATTTTGTAACAAAATTCAAAGACAGGCACATTTTGCTTCTCTCACACTTTGTATTCGATTCCCAGAGGAATGTGGCTAACATAAACAATAATTAGAGATAAGGTTTCTTCTTACAAGAAACCTAAATGTGTTTGCAACAAAGGAGGGTTGAAAAGGCCCAGCCCAGATACATACATACATACATACATACATACATATATATATATATATATATTGATATATACTAACTATAATTATGTTTAATCACATACAAATATCCCCTATGTTAATAATATTGAATCCCAATGAATAAATGTCATTATTATTGAACTAAATATTAGCTGAATGTGTGTAAAAGACATGTATGTATCTCATGCTGTCACATTACTAATAAACACAGTTTCACACAATGAGACAGTGTAACTAAAAAAACAAAACAGGCACATGATTACCAGAAAGAGATATACCTAAGTAATTAATTGTATTTTTTTTAATTGAATAGATGCTACAAGGATACATTATAAGACAAAGTTGAAACGAATGCCAGATGCGTCAAAATCATACTTTATGACCTAAAACGTAGTCTCTATGTCTGTGAAATCCATTTGAAGCCTGACGACTATTTGATAAAGGCTACCCGTAAAAGATAAGACTTGTAACGTTAAAGCATTATGAAATTCGACTAACCCCTTATACAAGAATTTCTTGTGGTGTTATAATGCCACCTATTGATCAAAGTATACATTATAATCAATAGAAGAAGATACACCCACCTGGTGTCACGATACTCCTTAGTTAATATGCCCTCATGTAGTACTCACACTCACCACTGTTTCTGTTTGGCACTGTTTCTCATTTCTTTTCGTTAAGCACTTCACCTGGCCCTTGTTTAGCACCTATATATTCTGGTTTCTCCCCTCACTCCCTGCCAGATCATTGTCTCTTGTCTCCTGTTTCCCCGGTTCCTGGTCCTCTGTGATTCTGGCTCCTGGCTCCTTGATCCTGCATACTCTTCCTTGGGCCTGTGTCCTGCGCCTCCTGATCTTCGTTGCTGTGTTCTCCTGGTCTTCGTCCTGTGTCCTCCCGATCTTGCATTACTGTGTCCTCCTGGTCCTTCGTTCCTCTACCCTCCGATCCTGTGTTCTGGTTCAGTGTTCTTTGTTTTATTACCAGTGATCCTGACCCTGCAGCCTTGTTCATTTATTCTGCTTCTGATCTTGCTTCCTGGTGTCAGTATATTAGTCTTGTGACTCTGGATCTGTCCCCAACCTGCTACTTGTG